AGGGAAAAATTTTGGTTCACTTATTATATTAGTTTGGGGAAAAAGAAATCCATTATTTTTATATGAACTTCAGGACTTTATTTAACATGTTTCGGATTGTCCGATTTGGGTCAAATATGCACCGTTTTGTTGTAAGGTTTGTTGCCATTTTAAAGGTAACTTCAAAATGCCTCTCTCATAGAAGTCCTGGTCTCTATTTGCAAAAAACTCTAGTAGTCGATTTTCACAATCCTCCCTAGATTCCAATTTTTTATCATTAAAGAAATTTTGCAATGCAAGAAAAAGATGATAATCGCTTGGTGCCAAGACCGGACTGTATGGCGGATGCATTAAAACTTCCCAACCAAGCTCCCGGAGTTTCTGGCGAGTCACTGTAGATGTGTGTGGCCTAGCGTTGTCCTGGTGGAACACGACACCTCCCCTGTTGGCCAATTCTGGCCGTTTCTGGTCAATCGCTATCTTCAAACGGTCCCGTTGTTGACAGTAGAGATCAGAATTTAGCGTTTGGCCATATGGAAGCAACTCATAATAAATAATCCCCTTCCAGTCCCACCAAACGCATAGCAAAAACTTCCTGGCCGTTAGTTCTGCTTCACCGCTCTTTGACCACGATCGTTTTCGCACAGGGTTATCGTATGTGATCGATTTCTCATCCTCAGTCACCATCCGTTTAAGAAATGGGTCTATCTCATTCCGTTTGGCCAAGGCTTCACAGATGGAAATTCGATCCATCATGTTTTTTTCTGTTAACTGGTGTGGCACCCAAACATCGAGCTTCTTTTTGAATCCAGCTTTGTGTAAATGGTTTAAAAGTGTATTATGATCTATTTTTATCTCATGGGCGATGTTACGACTGCTAACATGCCGGTCAACTTCGATCATTTCTCCGATTTTATCGACATTTTCGATGACCAGCCTACCTGTGCGAGGTGCATCTTTAACATCAAAAATTCCTGAACGGAATCTACGAAACCAAAATTGCACATAATTGGCTGTTACAGTATCGGAACCGTACACACCATTCACAATTTTAGCCGCCTGGCTTGCATTTTCGCCTTTGTCAAAGAAAAACTGTAAAATGTACCGAATTTTCTCTTTGTTCACTTCCATTTTTAACACGCTGTAACTCACAACTGAATGCACCAAACAAAAAACAGCAAAAGAATTTTTTTTACTGCGAAATGTCACCTTTCCAACGAGCATAAATCTGAAATTGTTTGATCGATACTTGACGAGAAATCTGTCAGTGCAGCCATCTACCGAAAAAATAATGGATTTCTTTTTCCCCAAACTAATATTATATGTATAAACAGTTCCTTACAGTAATAGATATCAATCTACTCGAAACATGAAAACAATTTGAAGTTTTCAGATATTTTCTTCAAGCCACCTTTAGTTTTTTAGCTGCTATCACCACATTTATAAATGAATTTGTCAATTTGTCCATCGGCGGGGGCCCACCACTACGCTTTTCGCATTCTACTCCACAAGCTCTTTTATTTGATACCTATACCGCTGATATAATTAAGAAAAAGTTAATCAACAAGGTCACGGTGCCTATCATATACTTTTTAGAATTAATCCATTTTAATATATTTTCATTTAAGGAATGTACAAAATAATTTAAAACATTCTGTCTTGTTTGCGTTATGATAAATAAGCATAAATCCTCAAAAAAGTCAAAAAAGGATAATTTAATCGCTTATAACTTTGTGCGGGCATGGCCGATTTTTTCCATTTTTGCACTTAAATAGTAGCATGTTTGGCAAAGTAAATGTGAACAAGTAAAAATAAGCAAAAACACACAAATTTTTATTAGTAAAAACGGATCAGTTTGGCCCATTTTCAATACCAACCTGCGTGCAAACGCTTCCAAAGTTTCTACCAATTTTAAAGTCGGTTTCTTCATTTTTGCGACAACGTGATAGCCAACAACAAACATTGCACAGACACACAGATGGGAGGACATGGATTCGATTAATTTAGAATTTCACGCTGATCGTGAATATATATACTTCATAAGGTCTCTGAAGCTTCATTTTAGATATTACATACATTCATTTTACATACATTATGGAAAAAAGGAAAATGAATATACCTTCACCAGTGACGGGTATAAAAGAAGAAGGAAAATCATATTTCTATAGTCTACAATCGAACAGACGCGGCCAACGTTGTAACGTAGGATCGTTCATAAAATGAACATAAAAATTTTTATCGTGACATGCATCTCAGAGGTATGTCTAGTTCGATTCAGAATTTGACATTGACCAAGAATATGTAAACGATAAGGGATTTTTGAAAGTTCTTTCCAAGTGCTTCAAAGCTTTGAGAAAGTAAGTTTATCCCTATTCTTCGGCGGTGGATATAATAGGAAACTAAAATGTTTGACAAGAAAAAAATTACAGCTTTGTCTAGTTTTTATTTCTCATCTGATAATTACGCAAATTTTCTCGAAAAAATATATTTCAGATAACACGAAAACTTTAAGAATTTAAAATGTCTTTCGCTTGTTTTTAATTATGAATTTTGGAAAAGATCAGCTTAAGTTATTAAAATCAAGGCTTATGAAAAACCAGCTTTACATAAGTGAGTAATAAATTTTAAGCAGAAATATTGTAATAAACGCGGAAATATCTTTGTGCAGCTTAGTTTACTACCCAGCTGAGCGAACACCAATTACAGACGTCTCCCGTATAACACGGTTTTGGTACAATTTTTGCTATATTATCGAATACGTATTCCGGGTGTTTTTCAATTGCTTTCTACTTTTATTTCCATTTTATCGTTAATAAGTGGAATTTCAATCACCTTTAAAAAATCGACCAACCATTAAATATCCTACGCCATATTGCCTAACACCATTCTTATTTTATTATAGAACACCAAACATATATCTTGTTTCTATATAAACGCGCATTTTTCAAGTGCGTTTTATGGGGAAACGGACCCAAAACCTAATGTAGTACAATTTTAATCCTTACGTATGGCAGGATCGAAAAACAGGCGCATATGGTCCAAATTTTGCAGAGCTCATTTTTCATGAAATTACTATGATATTATGGGTCACTTGATACAACTTAGACTTTTCTCTACAAGGCTCTACAAGGGTTAATTTTCATGAAAATCCTTATTAAATATAGAAAATAGGACGAAATGGCCCAAATTTGAATATTATACCATTTTAATTTCGCCATATGAGAGTAAGTTCAAAAATTGCCTCAAAGGGTCCAAAGTTTTCATAACAAATTAGAATGCCGAAATACCACTACTTAGCCACTCTTTCCGAGAAATTCGGAAATTACAATTTTTTTCCATATGACGACTTTTTAGAATAAGGCGAATATATGACGAATGATCGAAAAAGTGGATCGATGGGAAACATTTTCTATAGCGTCCGTTCTTAAGTGAAAGCACGTCAACCTTTAGACTAAACACATAAAACAAGACGGAAAGGCAATGTCAGAACTACTTTCTAATTAAAGATGGGACTATCGCAAGGCCTTCTGGGTGTTGCAGACATCTGCATAAACTTAATAAACTCATGTACCATAAGCTGTGTAGGGTATAACTTTTTCAGGCAATTTTGAAAGTTATCTACTTTATAACGAAAGTATTAAAGCTTATATTTTGAACAATACACCAAAAATACTAAGCACTTTATATTCATATGAGCATTTCGTGCGTAAGGAATAAAAATAAAAGATATAATAGTAAGAAGAGATAATTTAATTTTTTGATGGACGGCGAGCCATTTGGAGAGTGAGATTAAAAGAAAATAAAAATTACATTGATTGTTTCGTCAAGCTAACGAATATTTTAAGACTAATTTCAAAGATTTTCCTTAACAACCGTAATGTCTAATTTTAGCCTCCTTTTTAGTTATTATTAATTTTTTAACTTGAAATTCAGAGAGTATTTCTTATGATTTACTCATTTCCAAAGGAAAACATGTAATATGCGTCAATTTACAGCAAAGAATAAAACGTGCTTTTACCATTAATACCCTGAATCACGATATCAATCTAAACAAAATCGCAATTTTCATTTCAAAAGCAGCCAACGAAATTGAATTTATTTAAACAAAAACCCATATTTTTCTACATGAAAAATTATACTCCTTTCAAAAAGATAACAAACGAATGTTATTTAAATTTATTATTAAAATAGATGCAATCATTTGTAAAAGGGGACCTTCTATATAGAAGAAGCATTTGGAGTACATGCAGCTCTAATCGCTAGGACTTTCGCCGCATTCACCGTATGATTTCATCTAATATAAATGATGTTCAGAATACGTTATGGTTATGTTGCGAAAGTTGGAGGTGGGCATTTCAACTTAGCTAAAATCAGTTTAAAGATCGCAGAAGGGAATTAAAAAATTGTTGTAAATAATGGGAGAACGAATGCGAAAAAGAATGGATACATTTTAATTTCTCATTTAATGATTCTTCATTGTTAGGCCTCAAAATTTTTGAATGATCTGTAGATTTTAATTCCAGCGCTGCCATCTCTATAATTTTAAACAGTTTTGCTAGCGTTTCTAGCCAGAACTGCACAGCGTCATTACCTGACCACTGACATCATCTTTTACTTAGTTATCAAAATCAATATCAATAGGATTTTTTAGAAAAGTATTCTCATATGAAAATCGCATCTTGAAATGTGATCGCCAAAATTTTTTCATTATCACAAAAATTTATTAAAAAAGTTTTGATTGCAAACAACAAAACAACCATCATAAAAGATATGTATGATCGTTACTTTGCGGGATCAAAGTAATATGTGCGACTTATATAAGTTAAATATGAAAATTTAAAAAAAAAAGATGTTTTAAATTTAGTGTCACGCCTACTCGTTTGTTTTTACTAGAAATTCATAAGAATGTGCATTTATTTGCAAAAGCCTGATTATGTGCATTACATACGCGAAAAGAGACGTTTATGTATATAGGTATATAATGTAATGTGCGTGTTAAACTCCTTTTCTTTTTTTCTTACTTATATAGGTTATAGTCATTTTTTTTTCTTATTAGTGTATTAACTGACGCGTTTGCCAATTACATTATAAAACACTGCAAGGATTTTATAAAAACTGAAGAAATTTTACACAGCTAGAAGAATAACAACAGCAACGCTGGTGAAAAGAAAATTCTCACTTTCCTCTGCACCATTCATAGGCAATACGGTCACTTAATTTTTTTTTCCTTTTTTTTTTTTCTTTCGTTTACCACTCACTCTTCAATTAGTCTTAATCCTTTGAATTGTTTGCCTTTTTCTTATCAGTTTATTGCATACTTCACAATTAGAAAAAGAATATTATATTAAAGAATTATATTACACATTTTTTAAAATTTTCTCTTTGAATAAATTTTGCACTTGTTTTTAAAGTATAGAGGTGATAAACAGGTCGATAACACCACTGCCGTAAAATAAAATTGAACATAGGCACAAACCGTTTAACATGTCTTTTCTTATAAATCGTTTACATTCAAATCGTTCCAATACATTTGTTCTTAAATTGTAACTTTTTTCTATTTGGTGATGTTTAACTAAATTTCACAAAATTTTTTAATAGGGATGGTAAGCGGTGGTGAATGTGATTGTGGCAAATAAATCGCGGTGTCACATAAAGACAATAAAAAAAGAGGCATAGTAAGGAAGGGTTGCCATAATTATAAAAATTACTTAAGTATTGCCATATGATAAATTTCTTCGATTTTAATTTATAAAAAATGGACAATTCAAGCGGAATATATTGTATGTTTCTTTCATTTTCTTACTTTCCCTAAAGCTTGATTTCAAAAATTCTATATATCTTAACTAAAATATCAATAATGAATATATGCTTTCATAATTTGTCACAGTTACAAAATATTACAAGAATCTCAAAAACATTAATAAAACGTCCTCCTACAATTTGATGCTTTTTTAAACATCAACGGCTATTATACAATGCTCCGATAACTTCTTAGAGAAATCCCATAATGGAGACAATAGAGTTAAGAACATTGCTAACACGGTTTACAAATGTGTTGTCGAAAGTAACTGCTATAATTAAAAAATCTAATATTAAATAATTATATCTCTTTACATAAAAAACTTGCCTTCAGGGAAAAATTAAAATTGAAAATTTGTTATGGTGTTACGACAAATTAACTCAGAAATGATTTGATGATAGTTGCCCATGTTTGAGTACTCCACTAGTAGTAGACATTCTCGTGTTTTTAATATGATAGTTGACGTTTCGAATTTTATAATTTATACAATTTCTTTTCTTTTTTATTATTATTTTTAATATTATTACCTTTTTATATTTGCTATTACTTGAAAATGGTTATTTATTTATTTATTGCTTAAGTGTGTCATTATTCCGTTTAATAATAATTAGTATTACTTATTAATGCTCTGAAATAAACGATATACACAAACACACAAATTTGTTGTGATACTTTTAAGACGACAAACACTAACAACAAACAAGTTTTTCGTCGTTCAGAGAAAGAGAGAGAAAAACAAGAATTTTTAGTTGAGAGGAAAACAAACGGAATAGTGGCTTATACACGAACACACGAACAAAAGGCGGAAACGTGCCGAACCAGAATAAATCGAATTAATACGAATGTCTAAAGTATATATTTTGCACTCGCATTTCCCGTATTCTCGCAAAAGCACATACATTCAAATCTGAGTATATATGGTAGTAGGTCGTCGTGACTTACATTTAGATTAGTTAGTTTCGTGTTAGTGCACTTTTCTTTTTCACTACCGATGATAAATTTATAAAAAAAAGAAGAAAATAAGGAGAATTTTATTTGCTGCAAATGTAATTGATGAAGTTCAGCTTACTCGGGAGAAAAGGCAGATAGCAGTAAAATACTCCTTTCACGGCAAAGAAAAAATGTAATAAGGACACTATATATATTTAAATACATTTACATGTACAAATTTAAATAATATTATTAATGTTGTTTTAAAAATTATTTGATTCGCCATTATTTTATTATTAAAATTTATTTAAATTACTTTTTTTCTCTTAAATAAACTGTAAATTTGGAAATTTCTTTATATTTTATACTGAAATACTTTTCTACTCCCTGACTTCCTACTTCCTATTTTCTTCGTGTTGCCTTTCTTACAAATAGAAGTAATCATTGTGGATATTTTCGCTTTTCGTTTTTTTTGTGCGTGTGCTTTGCTAGCTGTTTTATTCTCTCCTTTACGAATGATATACTTCTTCTTTTCCTTTGACTATGTCTGAAAGTATTCTGTACTATAACACTCATTCACAAAATCGAAACTCTCTTACTCAGTCCGCACAAACATTCTCTTTTTCTCTTTCCATTACTCTAAAGTGTTAGCGAGTTGCCCTATTCCGCTAATTCGTTAGTCGCTGATATTTTTGACGTTACCTTTGAGCATTTATTAGAATGTAATCATAAGGACAATGACAAGACACTGTAAGCTTACTATATGAACCGTTCTATATATTTACGTATATCATTTCTCTGTTGTATTTAATATTGATAAAGCCATCACCTGGTACTTCTGCCCCCTTTTCCTTCCTTTCGCGCTATCGCTTTTTCTCTGCCGTTTTCCCAATTTTATCGCTCCCGTTATTTCCTTTCTCCTTTTACCAAAAGAAGAATGGGGGAAAAAAAGAAGAATAAACGGAGGAACACGAACAAACATAACCAGCAAAACTCAGTGAACATGATACGTTGCCATGAAAATTTCATCACCACATATTTTGATTATTTTTCCACAATCTTTATAAATTTTCAATTTCCAATTCATTTTATTCTTTCTCTTCTCTGGAATGTATAGTTACTTTATTTTATTTATTTATTGATTTATTTATTTTTCCTTTTGCTGTTATATTTAATTTTCCACAAGTATTAACTTAGTTAAGCATTTGTTACGATTCCTTTTATTTTACTCTTAATTTTGATAATTACTTCTTCTTAATTTTAATAAATATTCTCCAAGAAAAACGGTTAATCACTTAGTATTTTTTTTTTTTTTTCAAAAAAGAATTTTATTTCTATTCGAGTAGAAAAAACATGAAGCTTTTTTTTCTACTATTTCTTTATTCCTTTGATGCGAGCGAGTTATACAAAACGTACATCGGACGTGTTTCCACCTTTTCGTTCCGTGGTGGAGTGCTATTTCAATTTTAGTTAAAGCAAGCAACGAATTCACTTTTGCGAATGTTCTAACGAAAGGATATTAAATAATGTGAAATAAATGTTTAATGAGAGAAAGGCATAGAAAAACACAGAGGAAGAGATAGACAAGGAAAGTGAACGGGAGAGAATTAAAAATTCTTATTCATTCAGTGACACTAACAACATAACAATATCATTTTCAGAATGTGTTTGAGGGAAAAAGAACGTGTTTTTTGATAGAATTAAAGAAAATAATTTAAAAAATTCTTACCAAGAAATTGTCATTTTCTTTATATTTCAGCATGAAGTTTTTCACTCAAACCACTTGTTAGATTATATGTAAAAATATCCAAAAATTTTCCCGGCTCTGCTGTCAGTCGCTGCATAGACTTTTTAAGCTGTTTATATTCGCTTATTGCTCGCTGTTCGGCAGGTTGCTTAGATTTTCCTTCTTTTTTAATTTTCATCATTCCGAAGGTATTTTTTAAAATAATAATTATGAATATGACAACCACTCAATGATAACTTCTTCTCCTTGAAGCTTATCTGTTGTTGGTTCTCCGCGTTGTAAAAAAAGGTCCAATGTGAACACAGAGTTCCTTAAACAAGAATCCTACACCAAGAATGAACAAGAACAAGCATCCTACACCATGAAAAGCCATTGTGGCATTTGTGGGTATAACAATTATTGCAGATGGCATTTGTGGATATAACAAGTATTGTGGATGGCATTTGTGGATATAACAAGTATTGTAGATGGCATTTGTGGATATAACGAATTTTACGTGAATTTGAGAAAAAAATAGCTGTAGACACGAGGCTATAGTAGGGTTTTGGAAGTGAAAAACTAGAGTGATTGAAAACTTTGCTTAAAAAGCTTTTCATGTTATAAAAATTTATGAGCTAAGAAAACTTTTTTAATAAGGTAATTACACCACGTAAATGGTTTAGTTTCTTGACTTGAATTACTTTTAATTATTGAATTAATTTTCAAATTTGAATATGTATTTAGTTTAGTTTCAATTTTTTTTGTTTTGTTTTTTTGTTGTTAAATAAAAATAATTGCGCTTACGACAAAAATAATAGAGCTTACGACAATAATAATAGAGCTTATGACGAAAATAATAGCAACATACACGTATGTATATATATGTGAAATTTGATTTTTTAATGTTCATATATTTTTAACATGTATACTTTTAGTATTTTGGACACAAACCAAGCTCCTTATTCATTTTGCTGCTGGCAACATTTCCATTTCTACCATTGGTCTTATTTACGATACTTACAATGCAAATGGGAATCAGAAATATTTTATACGATATTATAGCAAGAGGAAGCTTTCATATTGTTTTTTTATAAAGTTCTTTATGTGTGTTTATTTTAAAGCTTAACAAAAATTCTACACAACTTGCTCTTAATTCTATTTTGTATGCTTGTATTGTTGTCCATACAACAGTTTGCTTATACAAAACAACCAGACGTCAATTTGGCTCTCAGTTTTTACACCTCTCTCAGTTAAAGCAAAGTCCCGCATTGTAAAGGAAATTTTTAGAGCAAGTATTAGAATATTGGCGACAGTGGTACATGATTAGCTTGTCGTCGATAATTAATTGTCTCCCGAAAAAACGGCGACGGTCGGCTGCTTGTACATTCAATGCCGGGGGCTTGAACTGGAACTTTAGTAATTTTTCACAAATGGGCATGACTGTAACAGCTCGTATGTTTCCTTTTATACAATGTCAAATATATATATATATATATACTACGTCCAAAATTTTCTATTAATGTAACAATATAACTGACATGTGACAGTATATGTGATAGTAAATAAATTCCTTCCTTCAAATTATTCTTCCTACTTGTCATTCCCTTCAAAGCGTGGATGTCTAAGCTAAACTTTAACTAATAATATTCGAAGTATTTAAAAAAAGAAAAGTTAATTATTAATACTTAAACAACTTTTCCAACAAATTTTACAATACTTCATTTTCTTTAATAGAGCGCTCTGCTCAAAAACGCTTGCGTTCAGTTTGTTGGCGTAAAATATTCTCGATAGAAAATTTCTTACGGCTTAAACGTGAATAATGTATATTTTTTTTTATATAAAATACATTTTAGATTCACATATTTTCAGGTAATCTAGGATTAATTTAAAAAAAAAAACGTAAGGAGTAATAATAAAGGCACAGAAATAGCACATGTGCCATAAATGTACAAGCGAAAAAGTTTATTTATGTGTTCATTTGTCTGCAGATTTCTGCTTATTTTGACTGCATTCTACATATGTTGAAATTCTTGTTTTTGTGTAATTGAAGAAGTCGCACTAAGGAAATACTGTAGTAGACAACGGAGTTAAAAACTAACTTTTTAGCGATAGTCAAATAACCTAAATATTAAAATTGTAAACGATTTCTTGTAGTAAATAGGCCTTAATCGTTATATTTTCTATAAAGCAGCAGATTTACTTGTTACAAATACGTCCTAATCGTTACATCTTGTATGAATTGGTAGCTTTACTCGCAAAAGATAGGCCTGAATCGTTACATTTTTTATAAAACAGTAGATTTACTCGTTAAAAATAAGCCATAATCGTTACATCTTGCATGAAGTGGTAGATTGACTGTTTACAAACAGGCTTTAATCGTTATATTTTCTATAAAATAGTATCTTTACTTGCTACAAATAGGCCTTAATCGTTACATCTTTTATAATGTAGTAGATTTACTCATTACAAATGGGCGTCAATCGTCGTATTTTCTATGGAGTACACAAATAGGCTTTAATTGTTACATTTCTGGCTTGCTTGCTACAAAGATCTTTATTCCCTACAAATAGGTCTCAACCGTTATAAATTAATTGTGGTAAGTAAGCTGTGACATTGTTATGAAAGGAAAGGCTTTAATATGTATTGTATTGTATTTATTTTTGAACGGTAAGAATGGTTAAAATTTCTTGTCGGGAGAAATTATGTAAATATACACGCAGCTGTTGGTTGCTACCGCAACAGAAAACATTTGTAAGACACTTGTACTTATACTTAAATCTATCGTTCTGTACCTTCTATCCTTTCTGCTTGTTTTTTTCTTATAAAAATTTCAATTTTCTTTATTTTATTGCCGTATGCTTCTGAAATCTTTTCCTTACATTTATTTGGCTCTTAATAAATTTATTTCTATATTAACTTAAGTGAGAGGCAACACAAAATTATTTAAAAACAATTTATGAAATGTTGTAATATAATGGAGTTTTCACTTTCCATGCTAATGTCACGTACCTTAAAAAGGGGGGCTATTTATGTAGATGCATAGAGATTTGTCTTGTTCGTGACATAATTCACCTTTATTTAAAACTTACTTGTTACAAATCAACCGAAATATGCGCCCTCATTATCTATAGCCTTTTGCCATTTATCGGGTAGCTTTTCCATACCCTCGCAATATAAATATTGCCGACGCGAAAACGAGCATCGATCCATTTTCGCACATCTTCAATTTTTGTGAACCGCAGAATTGCTAAGTATGACTGCATCCACCTGAATAAATTGTTCATCGTCGAAGTATAAGGGCTATATTCATTTTGTGGAAACATTGGCAAAGTCCAAAAGGAAGTTGCAAAGATCCCAATAGGCATGTGTACCCTTGATCAGCATGAAATTCTAAATTTATTCAAGTATGTACATCATTCCGCATGTTCGCCTGTCCGTCTTTCCAATGCCTGTTGTAAACGTTCTTTGGACCCTTTGGAAAAATGAACCCATCAATGGGCCAAATTAATCGAAGATCACGCCTACAGTGCAGTCTTTCAAGCGGAATAAAAAGTTAATTTTTTTTGCTCACTACTTAAAAACTACAGTAACCCAATGTACAAGAATTTGCACGTATTTTATGGGCGATGCTGTAGCACCTGTACAAAAGTAGGAGAAATTGACCACGCCTACTTAATATTGTAGTGTATCAAAATTTGGATTTTTTTTCAATTGCTTCATAGCGCGCAAAAAGAAGCTTCAAAAACCCCACAAAATATATAAATTCTTGGCCAGTTTGTTTGTGTATGTGTCCGTATGCTAAACTGTGCAGTATGTATAGTACACATTCTCACATTCTCTCAACAAAAAAAAAAGAAGAAATTGCTGGTTGCTCATAGTCTACAACGGACACACCATATAAATTTCTGCAAAGTTGTTCTACAGGAATATCAAAACTCAGCCACGCCCACCCCAATATTATAGAGTATGCAAATTTTTATTTTTCCCTTTCCAATCTTTTATAGGATAACTGCAATGAGCATAAAAAATTGGATCACAAACGAAATAAGAAGAAAAATATAAAAATGAAAAAAATTTTTCCGTTCACGCACGGCTCCGTATACTTACTGACCTGGCACAGAGGGATGCAAAGCGCGGATAATGTTATTAGAATACTGGGCAAGTAATATTTGACCATGCCTAAACTAGACACTGTGGTTAATCTGCCTTGAAACAATCAGAGCCGTTTTGCGAGCCAAGCCGCGAATGTTAATTAAAGGCCAGTAAGGTACGAATGACCAATAACGGTTCGATAAGTGGAATAGAGCATTAATCCTGTAATTGTAACCCATGGGGAATAAATTTTTTTTAATTCTATATCAGAACTTCGGCATCTCCAGAGAGAGTCATAATGAGAAGTTATGTCACAATATCCGAGTAACCAGTTCAGCTAATATAATTGTTCAGCAATTTGCAACTAACTTAATTTTACCGCAAAATATTTCAATCCAATCCTGGTCGCAAGGTACTGTTATACAATTGAAATGTTTGGGGGAGACACACATGTACAAGACCATCGTCCTAAATTGGAAATTTTATATTCGGCTAAAGTTCTACGACTTGGTGGTGTTATCACAATAACCTGGAACAGTTTCATAATTATCAATCAAAAAAGCTATGAGTAAAATATCCAGAATAAAGAATGAACAAGATAATTCTAAGATTAAAGCTTTTTTAAGAGGTCTTCTATATACGTTTGCGTACGTATATTAAACTTACAAGTATTTTCTTTTTTATTTTATTTTACTCTTAACCCTTTGTCTGTCGTGTATATTTTTGATCAACTTCAAAGTCGAAGCCTGTTTAAGCGCGTCCGTCTCTCCGTCTGTCTGCAAGTCGGTATAATATCCGTGATAAACACTCTCACTGGCACAAAAACTGCAAGTTCTTGCATGCAACTTGGTTTTGAAATTGAGGCAGATCGGTCAAAGGCACCCGGAACGAAGCTCTATGCAAAGTCTTTTATTATTGATCAGTATTAAGGGGTATGATGAATACATAAAATTCGGCCCAAGCCAAATATAATATTCCTACTTGTTTTTAGTTTATTATGCCAAAAAAAAACGTTTTTTTTGGATGAAACTTTTTGGAATATTATTAACAAGAATTTGCGATTCAACTCAAGTCGTTGCGGGAAATTTTCACTATATGTTCTTCTTTCTTTCTCCTTGCTAAATGAACATTCTTATTCTAATGAAACCTATGATTACAATGTTTATATTTAGGGCAGCGCTCTGTGGCACTCCTTCCTGCCGTTGAAATAAGTAATAGAGTTAATGCTGAAGGTAAGCATTGGTTGGCTTAATTATACACTACACTGTTAAAGACTCATCGGCAATTTACGACTTTTTAATTACAGCAACAAAGCTAAATGAATAGGTCCAAAAAAAAACGTTTCACATATATTTTAAGAAGAGATGATCACATTTAACTTAAGGCAATGTCTGGCTTACCCTGCTCTGTATGTTTTGTGCTTAATAAATAGCATAAGTATTACATTTCGGTTACAGCATTTTTACAATATGGAAAATACAGGGTTCAGATATGGATAGTCAAAAGGCACCCGTCGCTTAAAATAAAACTTTTAAAAAACAGATGAATACGTCTTGTTCGAAGTAAAGTGCTGGAAATTAAAAATTTCGCAACTGTTGCTTTTCACACCCTGTACTTGAAATTACAAATATTCTAATCAAGCACAAGGAGTTAACATTAAGAACATGAATCAGCATGTACTTTCCATTATGGGCAAATATTCAAATTTCAGTAGTAACTGAACTTTGGTGAGAGCAACGTTTCCGAGATAGTAAAAGGAGACAAAAATTCATATTTATTAAAAATGAATAACGACGACGATGACATATTCAAAATTGATCCAGAGACCGCATGGCTTGAAACAGTGACAATTGGCGGCTTTCGTGTATGGCATATAATTGCCTTTTGTTTAGGGATCGTATTAAGCATAAGTAAATTTATAAAAGAAAAATGAAGTGAATGTATGTTAAGTCAATTGACTCTTTTTTTTTTTACAGTAATAATGGTTTGTTGTTGTATACGTTTTCGTATACCACGTACTAAGCAAGAAATCGAGGCCGATTACCAACGTAAACAAATTACGAAAAAATTCCACGAAAAATTGCAACAAATTAAAAACTCAGATATGGATAATATGGATTTGCAAAAAGGTATTATAATGCATTACTACTACGTGAACGTCTATTTATCGATGTTAATAGGCATTTATGAGTACATAAGCAGATTCATGCAGATTCACTTCAACGTCAGCCAGCCCATCAATTAATTATTCAGTTTATTAACTGCGTTAATTTATTAACTTTACAAGCATTAGAGCAAGCAATAGAGGAAAGTCTCGGCTTCTCTTGATTTGGATTCTATTTTCCTTGTGAACTTAAGGGCCATTCCATAACTTTATTACCTATTATCCTGCAAAGCTATAAAAAATTTGTTTAGCATTTTCTTGCGAATATTTAAAAGAGTTTCGTAAATTGTATCGTCACATAAATCTGTGAGGAAAGTATAGCAAAATTTCATACTTAAAATATTGAGCAAGTTTCCGTGCATGGTTTGAAATATTTAGCTGATGAATCGGTCCACTCATATCGTTATAAATACCAAACGCATCCACAAGAAGCCTCGATTTGAGCGGCCTTATTAATATATGCTAGACCAAAGACTTATCTATTCAACGAAGCTGGACAAGCTGATGTCCAAAGTCACTTCTAAGGCCTTTTGTGGAAAAGTTTTGGAAAATCTGAAGAGAAATTGCATTGAAGCAAACCATTTTCCGTTCCTTTTTTGCACCATATTGTTAGGCGTAAAATGGCTTTTCTAACTTTACGTGTTTTATCTCAGCACTTCTCATATTAGGTTTGCCACAATGGCTTAACGAGAAAGTTGAAAAAAAATGTACAGAAAATTATTTAGAAACCTTAAAAGGAACCTATTTACAGAGACTTGACAACACCGTTTTTACCCCACCGAGCTTGAAGAAAGACGGTTAACTAACTTTTTCCTTTGAATGTCACGACTCTGCTTGCCTTACCTTCAGCAGATCTTCTGCTCTTTTATGAATCTTCCGTAAACTGATCATTCCTAAGCGATTTAATTATTATAATTTTGTTAATTCTTCTATCATATTTTTGGAATTTCCCGGGAATTGTGATTAAGGTTTCGTCGTCTTTATTTTACGCTACCGTCACCTGCAGCATCGCAAACGTTCATTTCCTCTTCCTCTCAGCGTTTGAGGGAATTTCATCTTCGAGAAAATTAATTAGTTAGAAATTTCGCATTCGAAATATGCGTTTAATTTAGTTTACTTAACGATAGACAACTAAAAACACTATTTTCGGACTATACTGACATTTAAATACCCTACACTACACATAATTGTCATCACAAGACATTAAAAATTAGATCTTTGCTATTTTGGTTATATAGATGCTTGATTTTCATGACGACCTTCACATGGCATAGGCGTCAAAAAAGAGATCTGCTTAATTAAATTTAATACGCTCACTATTACAAACCAACTTTAGAATGCTAAATCTTTATTACTAAGCGATTTTTGTCGAGAAATATCTTTTCCATATAAAGTCTTCTTCAAAATAAGATGCTATGTAAGTAGTGGCCGAAAAAGTGATCTGACCCAATCTATTTTCAATAAGATTGTTCTTGGGACGAAAATATCTGAAAATTGCGAACCGTTCGTTGAACGCCACAAAACATGCACGGACATCAAACAAACGGTCGGACAGATAAGCTTAGGTCTAGATTCTAGAATCACTTCTAAATCAAGCAACATAATAAAGGGTGATTCTGTCTGAAGTCTGTCGGGGTGGGGTAAGAAAACTGCTTACAACCTGCAACAACTTAAAGATTACAGAAGTGGGTATTCTTCTCTACAAGCTATTAAACATCCTATGCATAATTTATTATTATTATTATCATTATTATTGTTGTTATTATTATCATTATTATTATTATTATTATTATTATCATTATTATTATTATTATTATTATAAATTTAGCCAGAGAATAAGTTGCAAGTCCTAAAATCTTAAAAGTCTTAAAGCACTAGCATGTTGCGATTTGAAATCACGACGTTTGAATTGATAGTCGAGACTCTTACCTAAAAGGCCACTTACGCGGATATATGTATAAATTAATAAAAATAAAATAATAAAAATAAAAAAAATAATTCAATTATTAACAAGTAAAAACATTGTAGTCAGGCAAGGCCGACAAATAAGTACCCTACACCCCACCACCCAATACGGTTATTCGCTCGTTGTAGCAATGGTTAATCAAAAATTACACATTATTTTCATGCAAAAGCGTGCTTTTAATGCAAGCAAACTTAATTCCCAAAAATCTTATTATTTTTCAATTCCGGTCATAGAGAAATAGAAATTATACTTTCTCTCCGTATAGGAGCTTGCTTTTCATGATAATCCTATTTGTTAGGGTTTAAAAGATGGAGCTAGGTGATCCAAATTCCCTATTGTTAATCTTTGTGGTTATTTTGTTACTATGGACGAATTTTCATTATAAAATATTATTATTACTACTATAATTTTACGCTAATGAAATAAATTGTTAGACTGAAAAGAAGAGGACATTGAGCACTAGCAACACAGGCTATCGGCTCTATTTTACAAAAGAACACTAGATATTAAGGCTAATCATTTTAATAAAGCAATATATTGTATTGATATTCTTTTTTGTAGCCTACTTTAGAACGTCCACTGGATTAGTCGCTCCAAATGCAATAGTTTTAGCCAACGAAAAGTTGAGGCAGTCACAGAGAATGTGCTTTATAGTGAGAATTTGTTCACAATTGCAGATAGGCAACGAAAACTTCTTTAAGATCCATTGGAGAGTTGCAATTGTACAGCCAAGGCGAACTTCCGATAATGTTTGTTAGTTGGGGGTCAATAGAAGAGTAGTGCGGATGATGGCATTGTAGATTTCCTTCTTTAATTTTCTCTTTCACTTTTCTTCCAATGTATCTGTGAAGATTCAACTTTTCCATGACAGCATCCATAATTAGGTCAGCTTGCTCATTTCCCAATAAACGTGTATTGTAATCATATTCCTTAATTTGTTGATGGTGCCCCATCTCAAAGTCGAAGGATTCCGTATAGCTTTTAATATAGGCAAATTGTCAGTAACAATGAGGGTTTTCAGTTTGTCTTTATGGGAGAGGTTCGCAGCGTAAAGGATAGCTCTGGCTGCGGTTGTGACAGTTGAAGCACTTTCGTGAAATATTTGATTGGGAAGAACCTGTCCTGAAGCATCTACCATGGCACAAGCACATGACAAACGAGAAGATTTTGAGCCATCTGTGTTTAAAAGATTCCAACTGTTACTCCCCAGTATATAGTATAGGTTTTCCCAGTTTAAGGATGTTGATATTTGATTTGCAGCCATTGCCATAACTTAACAAGGCATAGTAGGCTTGCTTAAAACAAGCATTTTGGTAAGAAAAGCAATAGTGTTAATGTGCGCTTGGCTTTTCCGAGCAACGTATTGTGTGAAATTCGCATGTGTTAAAATAGAATTTTTGGCTGATGATAGAACAGGTTTGTCATTGTCGGGAATTGGAGTTAAAAGCGTATTAGTCTCGATTTGCGTGGCGACAGCGACGTAAGTATTATTTTTGGTAATTTTTTGGATTCCAGTTTGATTTATTTCTCGGTGCTTGCGTCACATTTCGCCCATGCTACAGTAATTTTGTTTTAATTTTAAATTTTCACGCAATTGTACATAACATGGGCACTGTTTGCCTAACTCCGAGTGCTGCTCATTACAATTTACGCAGAAACTACGGCAAGTGTAGGAAAACCACAGTTAGCACAAGGTGCATTATTGCATCCATTATTGCAAACCTATTTGAGTTTTTACCTGGCGCCTCCGGGGCCATAATGTCTCTTTGTTATCAGTCTACTATTCAGTAATTTAGGACAACGAAACCACTCACTAGAAAAAGATTGGGAACTATTGAATAATGGAAAACGTCAAAAAAAGACTGAAAAGATACAAACTAAATACACGAAAATGTCAAAACAATCAAAAAATCGCAGAAGAAAGGAAAACACGTACTACTCAGAATGCAAGTCGACTACGAATCAAACCAATGTGTAATCTGACAAAAGATGCATAAAATATTAAAAATTATTAAATGACATCTTTTCCTGATTAGGTGCATCTCGTATGGACTGGTAAGGTTGTTTACCTTATTACTATGAACCCATGAAATATTGGAAATTGCGCCTTTATGACGGATAACTTACATCATAAGCTCATCTGTATTAAATCTCCAGCGCATTTGAGATGCGATTGCGTTGTTCGACGCGACCTTCGCCTATGGGCTACTCGTACGGGGAAATGTTTTGACGCTTTACTTAGTAGACCTCAATAAAAAATTGAAAGCGGTAAAGCAGAAATTGCTAAGACGTATCGTCTACACATTACCATGGACTTATCGGTGCGAACTGACAACAAAACAAGTTCTTTTGCTTTTTCTCTTTTGAACTTTGCCACAATATAAAATATCAAAATTAATTTAAATAAATCTTTAGAAGTTTGTACCATGAACCTGGATGATGCTGATAAGTCAATACGTGTATATTTTAGTGTAAAATGGCATATATAAGTACATTTTTTAAATGTTTTGAGGAGTATTCGAGGAAAAATGTTCGAAAAATAGTTGACTTTCTTGTTCGTGATACGATTGTCAGAACAGAATTGTTTGAGGGGAATTTGCCGCAGGCTGTACCTGTCACTAATAAAGCCGCTTGGTTTTTCTGCACACAATCATTTATAAGTTTGGGATAGGATGCGGATGCACAAAGCGCATTGTACTTTGCCTAACACATATCTTCACATATATTTACGTCATAAAATATGAAAAACTATATCTTTTTGCGATGCAATATCTTATTCTTCTTAAAAAAACCGTTACATTCTACAAGCCTCAAAACATGTATCTGCATGGCAGAAGTTTCGTAAAATACAGTTTTGTCAAACAATATTTTATTCCCTATATATTTTCATCATACGAGTACGGACATTTTTTACCCCGTTGCTTTCTTTCTATTGTAATAATGTGGATATAGTATCGTGTGTTTATTGATTATCTGTTTAGGCCCTATGCTGCTCGGCTGCAGTACGCCAAGTCTATCCGTCTTTTATAATGCCAAAGTGTCTCGGCATAAGACGGTCACTAATCTTAATGGTTCAGGCAGATTGAATGCCTAGTGCTATTAGCGAGTAAAACGCTTGGTTGAGCTGCTTTATGAGAACTCTGATGAGAACTGATTTTCTTTATTTTCTTAGGCACTATTTATACTAAATTTTTACACTAAATTATTCTTATCTTATTCTAAACAGGATTGTAATTGCTTACTAAATTATCCTCAACACACACTAGATTATTCTTATATAAACAGAATTATCACTGTTTACATGCGAAGTGAAGTGTGACATTTTATTTTATCAAAAGGGTTATGCTGAAGTGGCATAATTTTGTCACACTACACTATGAACACTCTTATGTGGGAAAGAGGACCTATGTAGATGAAACTTTTCGCAATAAGTTCACATGTCAATAATTATTTCGGACAAATTTTCACCACACATATAAAACTGTTGCCAAATAAAGGCTTATTCCTTGTAAGAAGCGTAATACAGGCTTGGCAAGAATTTATAAAGGAGATCGTATTCCAACAGACTGTAACATTAAATATATTTCGATAAAATTGAATATTACTGAGTAGTGCCGCTATAACGAATCAATATTCTAATCGACCCATTGAATTTTAATCTCTATATTTTATATCATCATACGCCTTTTTATTCGATATTCACAATTCAAAATTAAAACTTTTAATATTGATTTTAACTAAAATACAAAATTATCATTAATTTCAGTTTCGCTCTAAATTGTTCTTTTTACAGCCATTGAATACATGCAGTCTAACTACCTCATGAAAGATTACAGTGCGGAAAATTTACAAAAAGGTTTAAGTAAAAAAGGCGTGTATTAGCTAATAGTAAACAAAAGAGAAAAAAACAAAACGTTGCTGTCAGTATGCCTGTTCATTGAATAAAATTGACTTCTCCTCAAAATTGCCTTCCCCAAAGATTCACCAAACCCCAAAACCACGTCAAATGTACGAAAAATTTAGTTTCAACTAAGTGAAAATTAACTTTCAGCTACGTGATTATCCCCCAGATAGTTCACTTTGCTGGGCAGAAAGGCGAATAAAAATATACTTACAACATATTGTACATTTACAAAGTTGATGTACTCACAAGAATCACACTAACTTTGACCTGACGCATTTCACATAAATACTTATCATTGCCGTGTAACAAATAAGAGAATTGGGTTTGATTCGCGTAAAAATATTCTTAAGGTAAAAAAAATAGAGAGTAATAATTCATTTTTTAAGAAAATAAAGTTTGTGAAGAATTTAATTGCATTTTTGACTTTTTGATTAATTTTGCGCAATTGCGGATTACGGGCGATATGTGAAAGTCTGCTCTAACTATTTCACATCAACTTATACCAACGCTTATACCAACGAATTACGGGCTGTTATCCTTGAGCTCTACAAGAGACCAGATAACAAAGAATATTTTTATAAAGAGCCGCAGTAATAATGAGCAGCATTAAGAACAGCGACGAAGTGCTTTCAAGAATAATAATGGAAAATGGTAGTGAGCGAATTTATATAATAGAAAAATTGGACGGGGTCTTAAATTTAAAACCCTAAATGGATATATAAAAATGTAGTGAGCGAATATGAACTGGTAAAAATTGTGTAAAGGAATGACCTTTGAAATGACCTTTTGCGTCCAATTTCTCTACGCGGAGTCACTCTCAATGCCACTGGCATTCATCAATCATCAAACCTGCTTGAAACTCTTTCTCGCAGGTTTTTTGCCTCTAATAGTGCGAAACACTGCATTTACTATGAAATCCCACAAGCGATATGCTACTAGGATGCCCCTTTTATACGAACGAATGCTCATTGTCTTATGCCAGACAATGGGTCCATATAAAATTGCGTTTCCGTCGTGCAGCCGACTTTAACTCTAAAACGAAGGTGCTACTGGAATTGAATGAAATTGAGCGGCCTAGTTTAGATGCCATACGCCCTTATTTGGGGATTGAAAAAAAAAATTATACAATTGTTACTCTCAAAGATGTAAGATGTGCTAGCAAAAGACTCATTAAGATCAGTGTTGACAAAACGCTCAGCAAGATAAGTGTTAGTCAAGCACTCAACAAAAGTGGACGAAATTCAACACAAATTCCGTCTAAAACTCTCTTTGTAAAAAATGTAATTTCTTTTTATATTTAACCAATAATAAAACTCATACAAACACACAAAAACAAGTATGTGAAACTATTATCATAAAAAAAATGAAATAAGGAACAATACTATATAAACGAGTGCTATTTTTCTTTGTACAACCTGTTCTTTTATACGTTTTAAATAAAAACCGCTGGGAAATTTGATATCATCGAAACCTCAACTTTATTTAACAAAAAAAAAAAAAAGAAAGAGACAGCAATGTGGAAACAATTATTTAAATGATGAAGTGACAATGGAACGTAAGTGCGGTGCATGAATATCCATACATGCCTTATGGGAACCCTATTACGACAGTGAACATACGAAGATAAGTTTCTGCCATCACGGTAGTTGAATGCCGCTATATTCATGTCAGTAAGGATGCTTTGCAATCCGTAAGCCCAAACCTACAATCCCGGCTGAAGTTTAATCGTAGTAATAGTACGTGTTCCATGTTTAATTTGTGAATAGTTTGGTGAAGGAAATGAGTGATGGGTATGTGTGCATATGTGTTTGCAACAGCTGAGGTCGACTTAATAAACAAACAGATACGAACTAACGGACGAAGAACACAGCCTCAACTCTATACGCATTATGTGGCTGAGTAGTAGTGTTTCGGCATTCTAAACTGATATGCAAACTTTGGACCGGCTGTGGTAATTTTTAGAGCCGGGCTCATTAAAACCGTTGCTACGGAGACCGAAGCTTTATATCGTAAAAAGGTAGGATTTTCATTCTAAAAATTATCCCGTAATAGTGAAGTGGCAAAGAAATCTACCTTACCGAATTTGGATAAGGTAGGTCTGTTTTTTGGATACTACCGCATATAAGGGTTCTCATGAGACCTAAGTCCTTATATCCCAAAAAACCTAATTATTAATTTTCTTGTGATGAAAATATGTTAATGATAGTAATTACATCAAAATATTAAGTGGACCTAATATCAACCACATTAGTCTATTTTTGGACCGCACTCTCTAATCTCTTCGGAAAAAGGCTTATTTTTAATATTTTACGATAAATATTAATTCATAGCAGGGTTTCAGCCAAAAACTTTAGGGAAAATGTTAGGGAATTTAGATCACATGAGTCTATTTCTTTGGATCCCGACATAGATAGGTGCTACCTCGAAACACAAACTCTTACATGGGAAGAAAATCTAAATTTAAATTTTCCAATCTGCAAACGAGCGAATACTTGGTGAAGTAGTGTAGGATATGTAATTGTCGCCGCAGAGGAACTATAATGTTTCTAATGTTCCTACTGCACGGATTTGATTGTATTTTACTTTCCATTCAATAAAAACCATGCATTCATGATCCTTAATCCTCATAAACATTTTTTCTACAGATAATGAATAAATAAAGGATCAGTACCTAATTCGTCGGCTGATTACTATTTACTGGCACTGTGTACGTTATCGATAAAGAATCGTTATGTTTAAAGGAACCTTAAGAACCAATTACGACAGTGTGCTTTCGAAGAAAGAGTCATACTAATTTGTTGAAATGTTCTTCGCCGATATGCCTTATTTTAACAACCATACCGGGAAGATACCTTTCGCACTCGGATTTTTGGTTATCGATAGTTCACAATTCTAAGTCGTCTTCTAAGTTACTTTGTGCACTTGCATAGAAAGCATAGCCTTAATGGTATTGTTGTTTGGACCCCATACGCATCTACAAAGAGGAGCTTTTAAAGGAACACATTTGTGTTGCATAGGATGGTTCTTCACAACATTTTTTGATTCCATTAATTTAAAAAAATTATAACATTTGCGATTGCATTAAGCTAAGAAGCGAGTAACACATCTTTAAAGATTTGTACCTTGGTTGGCGACGCCGTCTTCCCAACGCCTATATATAAGAATTGCTTTTTTATGTAACTTGGTTAAAGTGAACTCGCCAAGATATAAAACTAATTTACTCTGATTTTCAAAAACTAAAACTATATTCATGTTCTCCACCCGCTCTGCGGCTTCTTCAGCATTTGTCGCTGTTTGCCGGAAGAGAGATTCAGCTCGGAGCCGCCGATTCTTTCTCATTTGCGCCACCTGCGCTGATGTCGTCGTGCCGTCATAATCCCCGTCGATCATCTGCAAGCGCTCCTCGACGCTTGGGGCTGAAGGGGACGGGCCTTCGCAATCCTCCTCGATTGTGTCCATGCACTCCTGGAAGTACTTTTCGAAAGTTGGCACCGTTGAAACCGTTTTAAGTGTACCCATACCTTTCAACATCTAATTGATAAAGTCTTTACGTCCTTTTGTCACGGCCCCTTCCTCGAAGACCCCGAACCCATCCTCCTCAATTAGTTTCGACATCGTCTCCGCGGCCCGCATGTATCCAAGTGCTTGCGCATACCTATGTATACGCAATAATGAGTCCTCCGAGACAACCTTTTTCGTGACGTTGCAGACGCCGCCCGAAATGGTTCACACGTTTTGTGCGGACATTGGACGCTGCAGCTCCTCGCTTACTTTTCTGGCCAGTTACTGGTACTGGCCTTTAATCGGTCCCCGCCCGTGACACCACAAGTCGGAATACACCCGAAGTAGCCGGACATCGTGGAATTATCGACGGTGGTGGTCATATTAAACGCATCATGGACATTATTCGTTTTTTCCATGGTTTCACTAAGAAAAGGAAATAAACTAAGTTATTGCTACAAGCTATTTTCAATGGCTATTATCCTTGGGTCAAAATATGTCGGTGTATCAAGTTTCATTAAAGTACCTCAAAAACTGCGAACTACATTGAAAAAATCCTACATGTTCCACTGGATACGCAAAGAAACGATTTATTTTGAATTTAAAAAATAATTGCTAAACAAAACGTTTAAGCTATTTTCAATGCGTTAACTGCTTTCATTTTATAAGTTATAAGAAGTGCAACGATCACTTTCAAGAAGAGAATCGGTAACGAATTCATCAAATAGCTCCTGCCAAAAAACATTTTGTCGGTTCGAAATCGCTACAAATGCGTTTGGAAACTGTGAAAAAAAATGATTGGTTAATGGTGGAATTTTTATAAGATGTGCTTAGAGAATATTTTAAAGATGCACTTTAGAAGTGCACAACATAAAAGGTAGAGCAGCAGCAGTGACATCGTCAACGAATAGTCGGAAAAGTGCAAGTTTTCGCCAGCGAAATGTATTGTGCCATCCTTCAACCTGAGGTGTAATTTAAGTACTTAAAAAAGACCAGCGGAAATGGTGCAAATGCACATCTTATCCATCTTTTAACGAAGGGTATATTGCTAAACTCCAATAGCGATAATGAAGTGATGAGTTCCTAAAAACAAGCACATTTTACCACTCGCATATCGCTCCATGTTGAAATTTTTAATTTCTCACTGTCTTACTCATCCACATGCAATATCTCGAGCTCATCTAATTTGAAGTGTGCACAACAAGGACGCGGAGCTTTGCGATGATCTTACTTTCATATCAAATTTTGTAGCATTAAATGATCGTGAGCGGGATTATAGCGAGATGGACAACGTCCGCGGCAATAGCCTGCATCCGTTTCCGTGTTTTTCACCGCACTGTTGAAATTTCCGAAAAGGAAAGTGTGGCTATCTTACAGTTATCTTTTTGCGTTCTTCTCAACTTTAGTAATGTCGTATTTGCTATGACTCAATCTATAGGACTCTTCATGCAGAGGTTCTAAAGTGCTTTTTATATTAACTTTGGCAAAAACATGTTTGTAATATTTCAGATTATTGCGCTAGCATTTTTGAAAAATTGCTTTAATCCTGAGTTATTCAACAAAATCTTGCGCCTTATGCTTACAGAAGTGTCAAGCCCTTGAAATGATATATCCCACATAACGTAACCACATCTCAGAAAATCTCAGCTTCTTCAGTATTATCGAGCAATGCAAAGACCCTCTGCAACAGCAATGGAAGTAGACTTTGCAATTGCAGACTATTGGATCTATAACACAACAACAACAGTTTCTTGCTTTATTTTACGATCGTTTGGTGGAGAACTTTGAAGGACAGGTAAAATGGTGCTTTCAAGTTTTCGAAGATTAGGAAGCTCAGAAGCAGCAATTTTTTGTTTTAGTAGAACTTTTACCTGCTCTGCTACCAACCAGATATGATCATATTCTACAACTACTGAAAACATGCAATGAATGCTTCTTGAAATAATTTTTAAGTGACAGAAATATAGTTGAGAAAAACGATTGAAATCATTACTATAATTAATAAATTAGAAACATCTGGAAAACGTTTTATACATCATAGGTTTAATATGTTACACAATTTATATGCAATCAATTTGATGGCTCATAAATTGCACAATATTGCTTCTATACGCATCACCATAATTTTATAAAAATATATTGTATAGACATTACATATTTGTAATTATTCACTATTATTCATTTACGCAAAAACATGAAAATATTGTGGCGCCGCTTGCTTTGCGTTGAACGCATTAAATGAACCCATTAAGAACTATATTTTACAAAAAAGAAAAAAATGAGAGAAATCGCACTTAAGCCATTACAAGTTTTCATTATGCATCCTAGAGCATTGTTTTGCTCGTTCCCGCTTTTTTTTTTTAATTTATCCCGCCATAATTCCATGAGAGCGGTGCAGTTAAAACTAGTTTGACTTTCCATAGATTTGGTTTGACGCTCTAATACTTCATTTTGCATGGCACCATAAGGTACACTCGCAATTTAGTAGCTCTTAATTTTGCTTTGATGTCTTTTATCGTGTTGTACAAACAATAGTCAAATTCTGGGTATTGACTTTCGTGACTATAAGAGAGTAAACAGTAAAATTTGTACTACTTTTGCTTTTGTGCTTGGGGCACGATTTTTTTGATATTTAGGACTTAATATATGCCTGCAACGATAGACATTTACGTAAATCGAATACGCGTTCCCTTTTCTATATACATATATCTTATTCATAAGTCCAATTTGTGCGACTACTGCGAAAGAAATAGCAAACATAGTTTCGGCTCGCTGAGAATAATAAGGTAAGCAATTATATACACGTTAGAATCAACTCATCAACTATGCAAAGCCAGATAATTGTGTGTCGTCTAAAGATTGCTTGACAACTCCAAAGCAGTGCGTAAAAATTTATGAAGCATTTGTCAATTACGAACATGTCGTTTAAACGATGGGAACCTTTTTATACTTGCTGCAGGAACGCTGCAACGGTCCTAGTAATAATCCTGCCAGGCTCCAATTCAATACATCTTAAAATAAGCAATCCCTCTTCTATACTCTTATGTATTTGAAGCCTTAAAAAAATACACTCGTCAATATTTTTGTGACCAAAAGCATTCAAGAATTAAGACAATGCAGGGCTGTGCATAAATTCGAAAAATCGTCATCGTTTCACATACGCAATTACTTACCGTTTATTTCACGAAGACATTCAAGTCCTTATGATTTACATTCTCATTAAATTTGCAGCATAGAAAAATTTTGAAATTATATGTTTAACAAATTTATTTTTAGTAAATTTTTTCTTACAAACGTCATATAATAAAATAAAAAAAGAACTAAAAGTTTTATAAAATATAAATACTTTTATTCGAATTTTCATAAGACTTACAAATTTTAGTTTTTCTTTTTCCACAAAGAACGTAGACATTTACATGTATGCATGAGAGGTTAAAATTCCATTTTTTATCTTTTCAATTAAATGTTAAGGTTTAAGTGTTTCTTAACTTTTCTTCTTTTATGACAATACCTAAATTTGGCTTCATGTGTAACCGATATATCGGACGAAAGTTTTAGCACGAGAAATTAAATATTTTCCGTATTTTAGCAATTTTTAAGGGTTTTCTTTTCTTTTTTGTCTTTTATTAATTTAATACACAATACAAATTAATACAAAATAATTAAAGAAAAACAACTAGACATCCTCGACAAATCATTCTTTACGTATAAATGTTCTCCCCCTATAATAAATTTCAAATAAAGTTTCGTAAAAATGATTTTAAAAAAAGTAAGCTTACGTTATGGTCTTTTTTTCGGTAATTTTTTGTTCTGGTCTAGCACGATTGAGTACCTTTAGGAAATCTGAAGTTTTTGCACGCATTCTAGAGTGTATGTAAGCCTTTGAACACTATGATTGAAAAAAAACTTTCGACTTGATCATTTTTTACATTTTTACAATATTAAAATCATTCACCTTAATGTGGTAATGTAGATAATCTCGGAACATATGTATTAAATTAATTGTATTATCTCTAGTTTCTTTATTAGTATGACGTGGAAAAAGCACTGAAAAATTGATAATAAAAAGAAAACGTTAAAAAACGCGCAATTTTATATTTTTTAAAGGTTTTACCAAAAGTAACATAACCAATATTATCGCCAACTTTAGCATCCGTATTGGCCAATTCCAAAGGTGGTTCGCGATGCGAAAAGAGCACTTGCGGTGCAGTATGCGAAGCACGACGGCCTTCTCTCAATTCCTGCATAAATACTTTGCCTATAACAACATCATCCTCATCCCGAAATATAGTACTAAAAACCACTGTAACGCGATCCGATTTAGCCTCCACATATCTTTAACATTTCAATTTTATTCATTCAAATAAATTAATTGATTTCTATGAAATTGCTTTGCCACCAGCAACTTACAATGTTTCATCGCTACGATAATTGATAACAGCACGTTTTTGTCCTTCTTCGCCTTGCTCTTGAAAATCAAAATATTTCTCAAAAACTGAAGCAAAACAATTACGTTTTAACAAGCCAATCCTTTTGGCAATTTGTTCCCAATCCTTGGGTATGTTATCCAAATTAATAAGTACGGATACGTTGTAACCTACAACAAAACAAATTTATTTAACGAAAAATATATCAAATTTGAGACGAATATTTAATAATCACACTAACATAAAAGATTTCTAGTTAATTACGGTCACATACATATCTTTACATATTCAATTTTTGATATCGCTTTTAGTTTCAGATCATTATTTCATTTAAAATTGCAAAATGCTCGCAGCCAAGTATTACTAATTTGTTTCGCCATCGGTTTATAAACATACATTTTGGCAGTTCGTATTTGGTGCCTGAAAAGGGGAACACACTTGGCCAATCCTTAGCAAAAAACGCTCAACGTGTTATAGTTATCATGGATTACTGCTATCGAAATCAAGGATAGCTATAATATGAGGTTAAAATCAATTATTTATCGCTCGGTGGAGACAGTATAACATGACAGTAAGAATCAACTAAAAATATTGCCACTTTTATTCGTGTGTCACGTTTCGCATTCGTTAGCATTTAGTTCGCATAAAAAAAATGTTATGCATGCGAAGAGCATTTATAGTTTTCTTTACGAAAGTAGTACGACTTTCCCGCGAAAATTCTACATAAAATATTGGAATAATTTTTTCAACTCTTTATGAGGATTGCGGACAGCGCACTAATGACACCTTCTTGTTTGATACTGAAAAATGAAGCAAGAAGTCTTTAAATATCTCTCTCGAGAATCTAACAAAAGGCAAAAGATTGATGAACAGGCTTGGCCCAAATTACTTAAACAATTTCCAAATTTAAATATTGTGATATATGTGATATATCCTCTCATTGTTGCTCCAAAGTGACAAAATGAATATTCTTCAACCCATCCGCCGTAAAAGGCGATTAACTGAAAGGATAACTAACCATCTTCCGCGTCTGTTAGCAAACTGCCATATTCACGCTTGAGCAATTCATCGGCACCGTGTTCTTGTAGTTGTTGATAAAATTTCAATGAAATGCTGGTCTGTATAAAATTGCAGAGAATTATTTTTTATTTTCTTATTCAACTTAGAAGTAACATAAACACTCATTACTTACTCTAACTTTAGTCTTATCGTTATTTATATTGGAAATGTGAAATAACACACCATCGAAATCTGCTATTTTTATATCTATTGATTCCGGTTTTAAACTGCAACGAGAATAAACATTATTGGGAAATAATACCTGATAGGGGCTATTATTCAAAATTGTTTTTATAAATAAATGAGGTAAATTAACACAATTCTTAGATTAGATAAGGTAAGGCGACCTTCGATACTCACAAAACCAAAGTGTGTTATAGATATTAAAAAAAATATATATAAAAAAATAAAAAAAAAAATTAGAAACCAACTTCCCAGTAAAGTTCTAATGCACGATGAATAAAATGTTTTTATAGTTTTCCCTGTACTGTGCTCATAATATATTCATTGATTGAGCAAAATAAATTAAACTGTCACTAAAATGTGTCAGCTTTTTTCATACGTTCTTAATTTTTTCCGTTCAAAAGCGTAGTTTACGCTATGACTTATTCAGTTTACATGGTTTTATGCGAATGAATTTCTTTCAATTTTCTTATGCTCAAAAATTGTTGCACATATTTTCATAGGATATTTCGCCGCCAAATTTTCCAAAGGCCACGTTTTAAGTGTAAAATCATTTCATAATTAATGTAAAGATGCGGAAAGTCTTGGAAATCGGTAATGTGCTGTACTTGAAAATGAGTTTCGCACCATGTTTGGCAGCTTTTGTGCAAGCCGTTGTGAAATTTGTTAAAATCTGCCGTCGATAACCGAGACACGTTGTTATCTTCGCTCTTGAAACTCCTAGCAATATCTTACGATTTAGCAAGGAGAAGGTTGCGCTAGCAAAACCCTCATCATGTAAATCTTCAAGTCGTCAATTCGAAGAATGAGGAAAAGCCTCTATAAGAGCGTAAATGACGAAACGAAGTTTGGTTTTTTCTTATCGCATAATTGGCAAGGAACTCCAGAAATATGTGAATCACTTTTACAAAGCATTTAAGTCATATCTGAGGCGATCATAGAGAGTCAAAAAAGATTCGTGAACCTAGACTTCGCGCTGCTAGACTGTTCTTCACACGCCGCAACAGAATTAAGATTTTGTCAGCCAACACCTTTGATTTCCAACAAGTAAGTAAAATCTAATTCCTGCAGGCTGATTACGTTTTCGTGCATCTTTTTGTACAAAGTGCTTAATAATTGTTGTAGAAATACACGTCTTCTTCTTAATTGCACTGTAATAAATTTAGAAACGTTTGAGAGAAATGTAGTATTGAAAATTCAAAGCATCCTGCTTTTAGCTCCATCACCATTCAATAATATTCGATTTAAAGTTAATTTTGCTCCCACTTTTAACAATTTTGTCGCAGTTTTTAATAAAGGATTCTTCGTTATCTGCGACGTTCTCCTACTTTTCAATTTCATATATTTAACTTTTTTATTTTCGAAAAACAAAACAAGTCATAAAGAGAAAAAGACAGTGAAGGGGAATGCCATTAATACGTGGACCAAAATTTTCAGATCTCGACCCGCTGGAGCCAGTTATTACTTATGCCCAATATACCCAAATTGATTTTCATCGGCGTTCCTTGATAAGTACTGAAATTGTAGATAGCTAAATATTAACTGAACACTTTGTTGAGGACTTTTGCACATATCTTAAGAGATTCTCTTTTCGAAATTTTCTAATTTCCCTACAAACCGATATCAAAATTAAATCAATTTGTCAACAACGTCTATCTACTGTTTTAATAAACGCTTGTGGTTTCATAAAACAGCTTTTTTTACCGATTGTTGATTAATTTAGGAGTATTTGAGAGATATATTTTATTTAAAGTTCAAAATATCCCACTTTTAACTCCTTAAAACGATTATATTACGTAACATTATCTTAATGTTTACCAGCAATCAAGGAACAAAGACCTAAAAACGTGGAAGCATGCATAAATTTTCTTTTAGCACACAGCTGTTTGTCAAGCTTGAAATATGAAATGTGCTTTGGAGGCATTAACAAGTGTATTTTTGCAAAAACAAAAGCACAGACAAACGCATAGCATAGAAGTGATACCATGTTCCTCATATGTGTACATAAGTGTATATATATATATTTTTTTTCTTTAATGTACGTTATTGTATTAATAAAAACCACTTTAGAAAACAATTGCATTAAAAAACAATTGAGATAACTAAATATGGAAGTTAATGGCTAAGTAGGTCAATTTCGATAGAAGGAGAAATAAGTCCAAACTACGGCAAATAAAACAAAAAGCAAAAAAGAGAGCAAACTTATAATCGAATCGCAGACTTCTAACATGTTGGGTAAAGACATTTATAAATGATGGCAGATTTATTTAATTACGAATGATTTATGCAACAGGCTCTCTGAAAGTTTGTTTGTCCCGACTGATAAATATACACAATCTTTCTAAATAGCTGTTCTATATTTCAGGGTAGAATCTCAAAGACGAGCTGCATCGATTTCTAATGTAACCGCCGATTAATATTAAATTGGCTTTTTTTTGGGGATTTTTTAAGGACAAGTAAGAGGGGGCCTTCGGCTTCTCGACCTAGATCTATATAACCCGTAGCTTTAAAGTTGGGCAATTAATTTGAGGTCGATGAAAGAATCTTGTACTTACAATATTGTTATATTCTTAAACATAAAATGCATTCACACGTCAAAATAATTATTAGATTGTTCAACTTCTCTAAGGCATTAGAAGATCTGTTTAGAAAGTGTTTATGCTCATTTAAAAGCACTTCCAATGAAAATTACGTTAGCATAGCTTGATCGGATGGTTCTGCCAAGAAATGAGTGCCTTTGATAAAGCTTTTGAAGTTGTTTATAAATTCGGCTATGGAATCATTAATTTTGCTATCATTTTCTCTGCTATTTCCCCACACGTCAAGTGTGGAAAACTTTCCCTTCGACAGAGGCCGCGAAACATCCTCCATGAGATCTCCAAACTAGTGACTAAGGAAGTTTTGGATGATGAGTTTTATAGTCTTGCGATTCATATATATAGAAACGGTTTTTCAAAACGACTCATAAACAAACACTTGCCACTTTTGTACTTTTGATTCGCATTTTGCAAAATAACTTTAAAATAACATTTTTCAGCGAAATATGTGGAAGGAAGTCCACAATTTAATGCAAACATTTACACAAAGATTAAAATTTTTAAAAATCGCACATGTGTTTTATAAATATGCAGAAAAAACTATATATTTTTTTTGAGATATAAACTTGCATCAGCTATTCTATTGACAGCGGTATTGCCATTTTTTAAATGTTTTTCAAGAATATATATTTTTTTGTTATACTTAAATATAAAATTAATGACCTGCATGAAGGCTTTTGTTGTTTTATCTTCTCTACCCCCTATAAAAATTGTGAAAAAAGGGGCCTTTGCGCTACAGCGGCGGCATTCTTTACATGCTTTCACAAATTCTTATATAGGAATGCAAACTGCATGAATTGATTAATGTAACTTTACGTAAAATTGCATAAAAATATAGGCAAATATCATGAACACAAAAACACTATTTAAGTAGACCAACACCCGGCCTTACATAAAGAAAGAAAATGCAACAACAACAGTATTTTTATATATGTACCGATACAAACTTTCCCATCATAATGAAAATAAGAGCATAAAATATAAATAACTCAAATAGTATATGAATGATTAACGAAGGTCTACCAGCATTTAAAGAGAACAACCGAATGTGTGTGCGTTTGTTTGGTACTCACCCGGCCAATGCATTACGGAATTTAACCAATAAAGTCTCCTCGACAATGCGATTATTGATTTCCAGCAAAATCATGTTTATTTTGGTTTTTCAGCTCACACAGCAAACGTTGTAACCTACACACGCACGCCCACCCACACAAAAATACAACTTGGGAAAATTATATTTATAAAAGAAAAAAAAAATTGAAAACGTGGTGGAATGACTGATTTTCCGATTATCTATCTGCTACCGCGTGTTACGTACGCCTTTGAAGCGAAATCAAAATAAACGCGTTGAAAAGCTTTTACGAATTTCGGATCTCAACGCAGGATTTAAATTAGCATGTGATGGCCACTTTTCAATTTATAAGAATTATGCGAAAAAATAATTGATAGAGAGAGAGAGTGCTGGATGATAAAATACCGCCCTCTCTCAGTTTAATCACCCTTAGTTGACGTTAGCTGCGATTGTTGTTGCGGTCTTGAAGACGTTTAACTTGACTTTAATGAATCAACACAAAAACATAAAAATTCTCACACCAATATATAAATTTTGTCATCACAAAAATTTGAGCGCAACGTTCTTTCTATTTTTTCTTTTCTGCTTATTTTATTGACTATTACACGGAAGCAGCTATATTCGCTTTTTCTTTCTGGTGCTCCCACTTCTTTTTGCAGTTTGTTGTTTGCTATACTTTGCGAATTGTACGTCGGCTTTTTTGGTATTAATTGAAATTCCAACACTTTTTCCACGCAGCAATCAACAGAAACTTTACTAGCTGATTCCACACACCTTCACACATTATATGAAAAAGTATTCATACGCACATTGTACTCCTCTGCTTTTTTGCCTCTTTTCTTGTTTTCTCTGCAGTAGACGTAATTTTTAATTAGAAAATTTCACTTGTTTCTAAACATATAATGTTTTCGTTGACTGTATTACGTGACTAGTTTGACTTATAAATTATTAATGTAAATTATAGAGGACTTTTTTTATTGTATTATCAATAAAATACTGAAAAAAAATTTGTGGTTTAGAAACGGACTCTCCTCACTTTTCTTCTGTTTCTCGGTCTATGATTTTCTTTGAATAAAAATTGACTCACATCTGACAGAGTTGTATAAAAATGAATGTTTTGCCAAATATCGTATTTAATACAAAACAGAGACGTAAAACAAAATTAAAAAAATATGAACAAAAATTTCAAATACGTACATTCATCTATTGCTGTTGATTAGAATTGAATGGAAAGTATTATACCCTCCAAAACAAACGGCGCTAGCATTGAAACCTATTAATCTTTGTCATCAAGTGAAGAAGAAGAAGAACAAGGCTATTCATTTGTTCATAGTTTTTTGGTAAAGGTCTAGAGTTTCCGCTTAATGTGTGGTGTTCTGTTAAAACGCATTTACATTTAAATGAGATCGAAAAATTATTGCCAGTTGGTGCTAAAATATAGCCCGCTATGGAGTCAGTAATATAGTCGTCCCTTACGTTGCTTCTTGCTATTTCAAAATGGTTACTTAATTTGTGAAAAATTTCGCATTTTATGTATTGACAGCAGTGTAATGTTACTAAGTCACACACGCCATAAATTATCCTCAATATCACCATCGCTTTCACCCAGAATTATTTTCAATTTATACGCAACAATTTAGTCGCACCCAGAATTATTTTCAATTTATTTATTTATTTATTCTCACTATGTAAACAATTCATTTGATTGCGCAATACCATAATCAGCTGTAATTTGAAGAACATTTTGGGATTAAAATTACAAAATTGCATTTGTGGTTGAAAGATGGCAAAATTGAAACGATATTAATAGAAGTGAAAATTGCCTAAAAACTCGGGAAGAAAAATGTTTCGTAGTGGAGTTGGTTTGGTGGCGTTTGGAATAAACCAAAAAACCGTTCATCGTTGGATCATCTAAAATATTTATATAGTATTTTAGAAAAAAGTACAACGGTATCTGAGAGTAATCGTTAAGAAGTATAGCGGAAATTTTAATATCGGGTGATCAACACGACAGTTCGCTATTCGAGTAAACAGCGCTTTATAACTATGTATTAATTATTTTCCTTTTTCCAGCTTTTTCCTAGAGAAAAATATGGTATCATACTTTTTGCATATAATGCGTCAAAAAAGCGGAGGTTCCAGTTTCGTAGGTATTCGATTATTACAAACATTGAATATTCTCTTCGAAAATATACGTAATGGTCTTGTTTATGATCTGAAAGGAGGTCTAAAACGTAATACTATTTTCATTATTATTATGTTTTTTTTTTGGTTTGTTTGAAAATGGATTGGACCAGTTACATTAAACTTAGATCCATAATCGTTATTAGCCATTGATGATAATTTTGGGTTCAGGTAGAGACTGATGTAACTGGATGAAATCCAAACGTACCAAACTATTGTGCGCATTAGAAACTTCCTCCTTGTACTTTATTTTACCTAAGGTAATTGTAAAAAAAGACGTATTCATGATGGACAGTACGACCACATCAAATATCTGAAAAATATGGAAAATTTCAATTTAATTTTTTCTTGTTTATTTGGTTGAGTAAAATAAACTTCGCAAAATTTTTTAGTACCAAAGCGTACTCAATCGTAAAATATGAATTAACCCACAACCAAAGTGCCTTCATACTTTGGAACTTTGGTGGTACATATTCTTCAATTTAGAAAGCTTTGACGGAGAATGTTGTTCAGTTCTTATGTAGTCTGTGCTTTGCTGCGTTTTCTGCAGCTGCAGTCAGCCAATAGCGTCGCATCTCTGCTCTGCTTTATAAGTTGCCTAGGGTGGTGATCGATCCCACCAGAATAGAAAACGAAAACATTAATAAATGAAAATTTTTTTCTCTTCTGCATGTTTGAAATATTATCGAATTTTCCAAAATTTTTCGTTTAAGTATTTCGATTTTCTGTAATTTATTTTACAGTTTAATTCTAATTGCATATTTTTGTATTGGAAATTTTTTGCACACAGTGCAGAATTCAATCTTTTTTAGTATTTCACACTGCTCACACTGCACCCCAATATTTTCCAATTTACTAAAAAGTTGTTTTCCTTTTTTTTTTGCCGAAATCAGCGCACTTACATCCAAACATATTGATATATTTATTATGATTTGCAGTAACTGTTTCCATCAATTTTGAAGTTTCTAAACATTGTCGAGGGATGTAAGTATTCTCTTTTTGACTGCGTTTCTATTTTCAGTTTTGCTTAAGAATTTTTGTTGTTTCTTCTGCTGCTTAGGTAACAAAATATTAGTTCTTCTTTTGCTTAAAAGTTTTTTTAACTTAAAATTCCTTTTTTGTTTATTCTGACGTTTGGATTTTTGTACAATCGTGTTTTGGACGCATTATTGTGCCGAATTCGAATAATGATAGAAATATTGAGAAAAGCTAAAAAAGGGGCAACTTTAGCATCCGTCCGGCGTATTCATGGTACTCAACCTTGTTGGTTGTTTTAGTTAAATTAAAAGTATGTGTTTTTATTATTGCTGAATTTTGGCGCTCGATCATATGTTTTGGCGCCTGGTATGTGCTTGTAGATATATTATATATATATTCATTGGAAGTAACAATCTATGTACATACGTGCTTGTGAATATAACTAAGTAATTCATTTCTCTATTATTAGATGCCAAAATTCCGTGAAAATTTCTAAAATTAAATAAAGAAAAAAATCTTTCTCGCATAAACTTTTTTTTTCGAAAACTACTGAGCTTGTTACATAGTCGATTTGCGATATTTGGACAAAATCAACAACAATCTCAACATCCTTGCGCTTCTACACAGTGCGAGCAGCGATACCTGCTTTTCCTAACCTCAATTTTGCGGCACATCACAAATCAACAAAACTCTCGATATCCTTGTGCTCCTACGCAAGAGTACAGCACCATCTGCTGCATACAACATCATCCCAATAAAATCAACTCTGTCATCCCACGACTACACTGACATCAAGTGGCGGCGATCTTAGCTGAATTTCTAAACCTATTAACCCCTGTCGCTGTCAGCTTAAACAGTACCTGCTAATTTGCATATCGCTTTTGTTTCACCGAAAGTTAGTTGATCTTTTTCCTATGCCTACAATCCAGTACGAAAGTTAAAAATCGCCCGCCTCACAATGGGGTGAGACAAACAAAATTTTTCCAATGATGAAGATTTCGAAAATGTTGTTCGAACTACGCATTGCGGAGGTTCTTTTAAAAGAAAAATGTCAAACCAAAAAAATAATTTGAACAAAATTATCATTCATAAGGATATTGCACCCTTAAAGGACCTGTCTGTGGATTGCAATACCACCCCATCTAACTCTCTGATCCTTCCTTCTACCAACAAACTAATTTCCTCTCCCAATAAGAGCGGGGCTGAGCATAGCAATAAAAACACCATTCCGATAACAGAAAAGAACTCTCACCCTTCAGGTCAAAATCTTTACGGTGATAACGTCTCAACTCTGACTTATTCTTCTTTGAACATATCAAAGACTTTAAACTGGATGGATTGAGTAATATAAAAACCATCAGCAATGGCAAAGCCAAACTCTGTTCTGCTACTGCAGCTGATGCAAACAATTTCATTTTAAACAACGATTTCCACCCCACGTCATGCAAGGCTTATATTCCCAGAATGTTTACCGAAAAATTCGGAATTGTTAAAAATATCCCACCCGCAATCAAGGAAGAGGACTTCCTTAAGTCAGCTAGCTCAGACATCGAAATCCCGTCAATCACAAGACTTCATAGAAGGGACCCTACCAATAGAAAAATGTTTATTCCCACTAACAGGCTTAAGACTGGCTTCAAAGCTAAACTAATCCCTAAATTTATAAAATTTAATTTCTGTAACATCCCGGTTGATTATTTCATCCTCTCTGTCAAAATATGCTATAACATGCGGCCGTTTTGGTCATATTGCAAAATGCTGTAAAAGTAGGGAAGGCAGATGCCTAAATTGTGACAAGACACCGGCCTGCCCGAAAAACTCCTGCCTTACAGTTATATGTTTGATTTGCGGATCTTCGGACCACAATGTAACCTTTCTCGAGTGTCCTAAAAGAAAGAGAGAAGAAAATTTAAAAAAGATCCTTACTATGCAAAACATATTCTCGAGAGAATATAAGGAAAAATTCTCCAACAACCCCTACGACCTACTTGATAACTATGATGAAAATTTCCCAGCATTGAAGGATAGCACTGCATGCAACAATATTAAGGACCCTACCCTCGAAACAAACAACATTTTAGTCAAAAAAAATTTCAACGCGGTTGTCAAAAATAAAACGGGTATTCCCAAACCAATGCAAAGAACATCTCACAAAATGCCCTTAACTCATAGCAGCAACACATACGAGCAAAAAAACTCCCCCTTTCTGATGAAAGACACACATTCATCAATAATCACAAATCTACTGAAATGCAAATGATCTTAGAAAAGATCTTCAAAACTCTTTCCACCACTCATCACGAAGCAAATTCAAAACCATACAAGAAGAAATACTCAAACTCAAATTAGAATTTGATCTCTTAAAGCAAGGTCCATCTGAGCTGGTCTCACCATGTCCTTATATCTCTCAATGACCTCCTTTTTACAATACAACATACAAACCCTCAGGCGTAACGCCAATTCGCTGGATTATTTCATCAATTCCAACCGAACTGATTTCGCCATTTTGAGTGAAATCTTTCTGTCCGACGACAACATTTCCGATCTCAAAATCCCAAATTACAACTCCGCTTATAAATGTAGAAGTGACGGCTGTGGAGGTGCTGTCATCCTTATTAGGAAAGGCATCTCCTTCAAACAAATCCCCTTTAAATCAGTTGTTGACATTGTTATTGTCAAAACTTCTTCCCTAAAACCTAATATTGTTACTGCTGCTTGCTACTTCAAACCTAACAGTCCTATTCAATCTTTCTGGGATGACATTAATAGCCTCCGTGGTAATTGCTTCCATAATGTCATAATTG